GTGGTATCTATAATGCTTCCCCCATCTATCAGAGGCGTTAGAGACTACTGTTGGGTGGGAAATGTCCTTGAATTTAGCTCAGTGACCTCCTTTGGAGATATGAGGTTCTTTTATGTGCCATAAAGCTACGACACGGGACCCACGGCTTAAAGTCCCTCCTGGAGGACTTGTTCCCTGAATTTTTCCTCCCTTAAAAATTCCACGACCTCTGCCAGGTTTGAACCCGCGTACCACGAGTCATGAGGTGGGAACGTTACCTCTAGACTATGGAGGCCGCTCATCAAAAAATTACCACCACACCTATTTACTCAACCGAAAGCTATGTGAGAAATATTCCAGCATGAGAACCATCATCACCCAGAAGCTACGCGGACACTACAGGATGCAACTTAAGTCCGCCAGAAGAATCTACCCACATACTCATCAAATTCCTAGATGAATTTAAAAACCTACTACAACTGCAACAAAACACTATGGTACTAAATATGATCACTACACTTGTCAACAAAATACATTAAATGTTCAAATTTCTAAGAATAGCACAATGGAATGCCAACAGCCTGCAAAATCATCAAGAGGAAATAAAAATATTCCTAAAGATAAACGCTATAGATATTCTCCTAATCAGCGAAACCCATTTCACTGACAAAAGTTATATCAACGTACCAACATACAAAACCTACCAGACCAACCACCCGACAGCAAAGCACATGGGGGAACAGCAATCATAATCAAAGAAACTATACATCATTTCGTCCTACAAAAGTATGAAGAGCCACACATCCAAGCTTTCTCAATCAAAATCACAACCTTCCCATACCCCTTCACCGTTTCCGCGATCTACTGTCCTTCTCAATTCAATCTTAAGAAAACCCACTATGAGACCTTCTTCCGCACCCTGGGGAACAAATTTATAGCCAAAACCACTGTGCAGTTGCCTCTGTCTGCTCGAAGAATTCTAATTTCCTTGTTAAGTCTCAAAGATTTCACGGCTTTCAGTTCCTTCGTGGTCATGTTAGGTCTGGAAGACTTAGACTTCTCTAGCATGGATCTAACCTTCCACCTGAATTCCATGCCCTTAGTCTGTGGAAGCTTCAAAACAACAGAAACTCCTTCCTAAATATAAAACCACTCTTTCGACTGATCTTAAACACAGGCTGACTCCATACCACAGCAAACCTCCACATCTGTATGGTCTGCCCAAGATTCACAAAGCGGGTATTCCTCTGAGGCCTATAGTAAGTTCAATTGGTTCTCCTTGCTATGCACTGGCCAGCTTTCTCCATAAGATACTCGTTCCTTTTGCTGGTAAATCCGACCCTTTCATTAAGAATTCGGCCCACTATGTTCAGTTATTAAAGACTGTTAACCTTCATTCTCAAGATACTCTCNTTAATTCCAAGGGTAGTAGTCCGAAGAAAGAGGAAAGCCCTCTGTGTTCTGTTTATATTCCATATGTGAAGGGTGTNGAGAAGATCTGTATGACATGATATATGCTTTTATCCATTTCTATTAAGTTCTAATCAGATAGACGTGATTTTCTCCATTGTTGACGCTAGTTAGACACTATTAGTTTTTGTTACTAGTTCTTCTTTCTATTCCATGCCGTGGGGTCATGGACTTGGTTATGAGTTTGGTTTCATGGCGCAAATTTCTACAGATCATAGTTCCACGCTTGTATGTGGTTGCAACAATTTGTTATGAATATTTTTCTTATTAGCTCTCATGGACTTAGCCTGGTCTCAGGTGTTTATAATCTTCATGTTTTGTGACATCGGTTTGTCCAGTGATTGAGGCTAGCTCTTTCTAACAGACCCAACAGAATAGGTTTTTCCTTCACCTGAGGACGGAAACAGATCCAGTTTCCGAAACGTCATGTTTTTATTAGTTATCTTAAAAACCAGGACGATGGATAAAGTCCAGAAACCCAATATATCAGTATGAAAAAGCTGTATTGTTTGCAGAACATTTACAAGAAGTATTCACCCCCCAGGACAACCTACCACTGCAGGAAGTAGACTCATTCCTCAACAAAACCATGCAAATGCCTAAACAACCAAATCATTTCATGCTAAAGGAGATTCACAAAGCAATAAACACACTAAAACCCAGAAAAGTCCCAGGACTAGACCTCATCACCACTGAAATTATAAAACAACTGCCTAAAAAAGGATGACTTAAACTCCTATATCGACTCAACGCTATTCTCTGATTAAACTACTGGCCCCTCCCGCTCAAAACAGCCCAGATCATAATGATATTAAAACCTGGGAAAAACCCAACCGACGTCTCCTCATACCAACCAATAAATCTCCTACTAATAATAGCAAAACTCCTTGAAAAACTACTTCTCAACAAAACCAACCAAGGCTCAAATCCAATAAGCTGGACCCCAGACCACCAGTTCGAATTCTGCAGAGCGCACTCAACCACTCAACAAAGTCATCGCATTGCCAATACCATATGTCAAGCACTGAACAAAAACCAATACTGTACTGCAGTATTCCCAGACATAGCCCAGGCTTTCGACAAAGTCTGGCATCCAGGTCTACTCTTCAAAATAAAAACGCTTCTCCCATCACACTACTTCCCAATATTACCCTCATACTTAAGCGATAGAATTTTCGTAGTTAAAGTAAACAATGAACAATCAAGAAGACTACCAGTCCTCTCAGGCATACTGCAAGGAAGCCTGCTCAGCCCCTTCCTCTACACGCTCTACACCCACAATCTCCCAACACCCCATATAACACTCACAGGGACATTTGCCGACGACACGGCTATCTTCGCCACACATGATAATCCCATCACAGCAGCAGCTAACCTACAGAACCACCTCATACTCATAGAAAAATGGCTAAGAAAATGGAAAATCAAAGTTAATGAAACAAAATCCATTCAAACAACGTTCACCCTTCGAAAAGGCAAATGCCCCCCGATTAAAATAAATCACACTACCAGCCATCAAAAAGATCAAGCAAAGTATCTCGGACTTACCTTTGACAGCAAGCTCAACTGGAAATGACACATCCTCATGAAAAGAAAACAAATGGATCAAAAAATCAAAGACCTATACTGGCTCATAGGAAAAAAATCACACCTATCCATTGACAACAAGCTGCTAATATACAAAGCAGTCATCAAACCAATATGGACATACAGAATCCAAATCTGGGGATGCGCCAGCAAAACAGATATAGGTCTCTTCCAACGAACTCAAACAAAAATTCTTCGTCTCATCGTAAATGCACCATGGTACGTGTCTAACCACACCATTCACACTGACCTCAAAACTCCGTATGTCACAGAAGTCATCAGAGAACACAGCATCAACCACTTCAGCAAATTAGCTAACTGCCCCAACCCACTGCTCCAGCCACTTTTACAGCAACACGACTGCAGAAGAATTGGACAAAAGTGGCCAGAAGACCTAAAAATCTGAGGGACGCGTCAATGGAAGTTACCCACTCAAGCCACTGAAGCATACAGTTCTTAACTAATTGTCCACAAGACAGCAAATTGACTAAAAGATTGTAGTATCTGATTGTCAATAAAGGAGATAAAAAAAAACTAGAGAACATGCTAAGTCTTCCATAATACATTGTCTTCACCAGTAGTTGCCTGGTAACAGCTCCAACAGTGGCTATTCCTCTGTTTCTGGGCTCAAGTCCTCTCTGAATGGCGGCTCTCTTCCAACTGTGTCTAGTCTTCCTCCAGTTGTTCTCCTTATCTTGTTATGGATCACTGTAGAAAACCATGCTTCCAACAGTACCTCTATTGTTGTGTGCAGACTGTTGCTGCAGGAACCTGATAAAATGCCATTGCCTATAAATGGCTCTATATGCTAGAATATCTTTTACACTTTTAGCATTTTCAGAACTAGTATATTGTTTTATCATTGTTAATGAGAGCTGTTGACACAGTTGATATTGCAGCAGAATAATTCTGGAACAATATAGACAGCAGAGAAAGTGTGATAAGTGCAACTAACTGCAGTATGCTGGTGAATCATCTAAAACCAGCAGTTTGGGGACAGATGTTATGTATCCAAAAGTGCATCTGCAGGAGGACTCATTTCTGTTTGTATTATGGTGGAGATATGTAGCTTAAAATATACTTGAATGATGTCAGACAGCTGCAGAAATAGCAGGAAGAATTTAAGTCCACTGAAAAAGAAGTTAGTATAGCCATATGTCTGGAGCTAAATTTATTTCAACTATACAAATGGTTGTTTATTTCAAGAAGTCCATAACAGGAAAACTTACATATCTTAGAATCATGCAGATATGTTAATTATGTTCCCAAGTTTTCCCTATCAGTAACGATTGTGCCAGACTTAGCCCCCTGTGATTTCGCTTTGTTTTCCAAATTGAAAATGAAACTGAAGGAGTGACATTTTGAAACAGTGACATCCAAAGGGAATTGCAAGCAGTACTTGACAGCATTATGGAAAATGACTTTCACTGTGCTTTTGAAGTGTGGAAAAAAATGATGGGAGACTATTTCGAAGGAGTTGGCAGCCAAAATTGAGTGAGTTAAGCCAACATTTCTTTTTTGACCTAGTCTGGGAACATTACGATAGCACTTCGTACATATCAGTTCAGTTGGCCACAGGCATTGACAGAGTGTAATTCCAGATGATGTGTATATCTTCTCGACTTTCTCAATGTTGGAGTACTTATGGATTGTTGCATGAAGGTATCTGCATCCACATTGAAGGACAAATATCTGCTGTTTCTGCTGTTAGTTATTCTGTCAGTATTTTTGTGGTCCCTTGCACTCAGAGTTCCTGCCTTTCTCAGTTATTTCCATTAGATATATTTTTACCTTCTAGATATTTTGTTTGTATACTATATTCTGCATGTATACCACATTTTTCTATTGCAGACATAATTTTTAAACGAACTTCTTGCAATTACAACCAGCAACAATCAGGTGTTTTGGGTGATGGACCCAGTGTATAACGCTAACAACTCAGTAATCTAAGTTCAAAATTTCAGGGAACTGCAAGTGACCATCCAGCAGGCCTGCCAACTGTTGCAGCCCACGTAGCATCGCTTTCTCTTTTACATCCATTGTTCCACTTACTTTGGCTGGGTAAGACTCAGGACAAGTTGGAGTCACGTTTTGCACCCATGACTCGTGAACCAGGTTCTGATATCCATGTAGTAATGTTACACACCTTAACATCGCAGTCCGGTAATGCAGCTGGTCTTGTTGTTCATCGGCAGGAAATGGATCCTTGTTTTCCCCTGGAGCAGTTTTCTCTTAGCAATGGACTGGTGAGTTGTAGTTTTTATATATTGGCTGCACTGTATAGCCTGCTTTCATAAGAAAATTTAGGCATTTGTTTGTGACTCAGTGTGAGCTCTGTCATCAGGTTTTAAGAAAGTGGCTGTTTTTACTTAAGCAGAACAGAATGTTGTGTGAAGACATTGTACCATGAAGGTTTTCAGTGCCCTATCAGAAACTGTATCAACTTGACAGCCTTTCAAACTTCTGGAGGGAAACAAACAGCAGCACAATCGAATATAGAATCTCATATGTGGTAGCAGAGCTTTAAAACAATATTCACTTCCTGCAATATTTATATACAGCATATTAATGTCTTCATTCGTTGGGTTGCAATATGATGAAACATTGTACTTTTGCATGTGAAATATGGTACGAAAACAAGATTCAAAAGTACTTATGAATTTTGTCTGAAACACTCCTTGTAGATTTAAAAAAATAAGTATAGCTGCCTTGTGCCTAACAGAAGCATTGAAAGGAGAACAGGTATTATAAATTCACCCCATGCATCTGTTGTCTGTATTACAAAATTAAACAGTTTAAGGACCCTAGAGATTGATCTTTTCCCCTGAGATTGCTGTTAGTCATATTTCCATATTACCAATTCTTTGCTTAGTTTAGAAACATGTCTGTTGTTGGTAGATCCTGATCTCTTCTTTCTTCCCCTGAATACACATGAATTTTTCAGTAATTACAGTATAAAAAAGAATGAATGCTTAACTCAGATAATGAAATTACTAGGTAGATATATACACATTATTAAAATATGTGAATGTGCATGTAATTAAAACATCATATCTTTTTTTACTCTTATGCTGCAACAGAAAACTGATAAGATAGTGGCATTTTTATGTATTAGATATAATGAAGGACTAATATAATGCTTTGTCATTCTAGCTGAATGTAAGCAACCTTCTGCCGACACAGTTCGGAAACACCATGAAAGAGGCAACACTCTCTTTTCTAGATGAAGGGAAGACTGTTCAGAAAAATGCTGCGCATCCAATTTGCCACATGGAGATGTCTTCATTCATCTTTACAAGATAGCCTCCTTGCAGTAACATCATTACGTATTTCACAAACCTTGCAGTGTTTTCTGTAAAGGAAAAAGAGCTCTGTGATGTACTTTTTTGTAAACTAAGTTAGAAGGTTCAGATTGTGATAGCATATTTCCATAGATAGCAACTAATGTTTTGGAGGTACCTGCTATGTCCATCTTCAGGGTTGAAGTATGTAAGGTGAGGAACAGTTTCAGGTATATAGGCTAGTTGTAAGAGAAGTTGTCTGTCAGATCCAGTGGAGGGAGTAAGGAATTGATTTCTTGCCTTAGACTCTTCTTCCCAGAAGATGGAGGCAGGATGTGCCTCTGAAACACTGATATTCTTCCTGTAAGACTGTATGGCATCACAACCCAGACGACTATAAGCTGAACAATCACTGACATGAAAACCTCAAAACTTACATGAGTCAGAAGGTTTCCTGGTGTTAGCTAATAATACATACATCAAGCAGCTAAACTTGAAATTAATCGCTCTAAGCTATAGGTGCTCAGCCCTTTGTGCACAGGATACTGCTACTGAGGTGACAAACTATTAGGATCTCCCAGTGTATAAATTAAATTAACTCTGTTAGTGGCACATTTAGTATATACCACACAGAACAGGTCCGTGATATTTTCCATAAACTGAAAGCATTATGAAGTAGTTATTTCCAGTTAGGAGCTATTTTACTTATAATGGTCAATTTCATACCACTGATATTGGCATATGTATTTTTGATCATGTGCTAAAATTTTATTGCAAATCTGGGAATGTCACTGAAGGGGTTAAGAAAATATCTCTTCATTATAATGCGCTTAGAGAAAACATGCTTAAAAGTCATAGCATGTTTGAAGGAGAAGGTGGCAGATGTAATGCCAGAAAAGAGCCACTGCTGTTTCTCCAGAAACAGTACTTCTTAAACATGTTGAACCATGTTGTGACTTGGATTTTTGGTTCTGGACTGCTGTTATGTGAATTGTATGCTCATTTTTAAAGTGGGTCAGAATTTATTTTTTGTAGAATCAAGAAACCATTAAGTATTCTGAAAAGTTTTATCTTCTGAGATGTAACACCATGTAGTCTGGCACAAGTCTGGTTGACTTTTACCAGACTACTAAAGTGTTACATTCCAGAAGATAGACCCCTTCATAGTCACCACTGTGAGAACCTGAAATCCAACTTTAAATATTTTCTTTGGAATCATTCATGCATTCTGCTGTCACTTTCATGAACATTGAACCTTATACATTCTCCAAAACATTAAAGGTATTCAGACAGTAGTCACTGTATTGTCAAGGAAATAACAGCTTAAGATAATATTTAGGATTTGATGTTCTCACAGTGGTGGTTATGAGGAGTACTGTCTTCTGGATATAATGCAGTGTAGTTCATTGAATGTCCACTGACATTTTGGAGGAACATATCACCTTTATCTTCAGAGCTGAGTAAGCTGAGCAAAATACCAGTGTGAAAGCAGGTGGCAAGTGGAGTAATTGTATACAGAGCTCTGTGTGATCAAGACAGACAGCCTTCATGCAGGGTTGGTGATCCTGGGAGACATTTTCAGAGAGAATGGCTACACTGACCAGCAGATTTTCAGGGCCTTCAACCCTCCCCTGAATGTTGCCCAGCCCGATGAAAAGCCACATTCAGTTACTTTACTGCTTATGTCGCATCGATATTCAACTGCATCAGCAGGGTGTTGCCCCAGCACATCAAGTCTGTGGGTCTCCCTCCCAGGAATATATCTAGCTTCCTTCTGTTGGTCAGGAATGACCTGGGACTGAAGACCTTGGGAGTATACAGTGTAGTTAGGTCTACATTGGGCAGGGGCTGTTCAATTGACACCAAGTTGAAGGAGCATCAGCAACATACCCATCTAGAACATCTGGACAAGTCAGCCATGGCGAAGCATGGTATCAACTTGGGGCACCATATCCAACAATGTCGCTGCCAGCCTCTCCACCAAACATGGATACATGGATCACGTCATCAGGGAAGCAACTGAGATTGAAATCCAGCCCAACAGTATGAACAGGCAGCATGGCTTCTGCTTGAGCAAGTCATGGAAACCTGTCATGTAGTCCCTGGAAGATTGTAGGAAGCCTCCGTCACATGACAGCATATCTGAGTTCTCCAAGGGGCCACACAGGTCCATGCACCCTGCCCTTACCAGGGCACCAAATATGCCCTCTCTGTACACTCACCAGCCTCCACCCTGATGTCATGGCTTCCTTCCGCTACCTCTACTCCTGGCATACCCGATACCCACTCACTTGACCCCTTTCCTTTACATGTCAGTTCCCAGCCTGACACACCCTTACACTTTTTCTGCCTTTTTCGTAGATCAGCAAAACCGCCCCTTTTCAGGGCCATCAAAACTCTTGTTCTTGTCTCTTGGTGGTCGTGTGAGAGTCCAGGGTTTCATTTGGTCCCACAGCAAGCCAATGGAAACTGAGGAGGTCCAATCACCCATTTCCCTCCTGGTTCCTGTACAGTCCAAAATTTCTGGCCAGCTGATTACTCGGCTTGCCACTTGCTTTCACGCTGGTATCTTGCTTGGCTTATTGGACCCTGAAGATTGAGGCAATATGTCCCTCCAAAATGTTGGTTGACTTTCAGCAGACCACATAGCATTATGCCCCAGAAGATGGTACTCTTAAGATAATGTTCTCTACGTTACATTATGACTGAATTGAATTAACAGCATTAGATCTCCAATCAAGAAAGTATACTCTGCAGTACTGCGTATTACTTTTATCTGAGTGATACCTGGTTTGAATTCAGCTAGAAATAGTTATTCTGCCTGAGGTTTTTATGAGTTACCTCAGAAAATTTGCATATACCCCAGTGTATAATTTTGTGATGATTTTGTTTTACTGTGGCATAGCTTATTATAGGAAAGAAATTTTATACTTTTTTTATCTGTGAGACTTTTGAATGAAGAAATACTAAGACATGGTTTTAAGTGTGCAAAGTATGCTGCTGTTCTTCAGAAAAAAGTATAACTATACTCTGATGTGAATGCTTCAGTATTGGATGCATAGTCTTTCAGGGATACTGATAAATTGCCATGATTGGACTATGTAAGCCTTTTCCCTTGGTATGTATATATGAGAGGGCAAAATCCACAGTATTTGCTGTAATTAATGTTCTCTTGGAGCATTCTTGGTGTTCTCTTGGATGACTTCTGGAGACAGTCCATTTCCATCATATGGTTTCTCTGTAGATAGGGCATGGAAATCTCTTATTTGCATCCTGAAATAATGGAAGAATGCCGTGTTAAAGAACAAAGTATGGGCATCCACCTGACCCTTCATCTTCTCAGAGCCCATCCAAGAAAAGGCTTTTCCTTGGCTCTGTTTCATTTCCCTGTCCAAGATCAGTCTTCTCTTTTCCTTGGCAAGATCCCTCCACTGGACCAATATACTCGTAGCTAATCTGCACCCCAGCTGTTACTTTGAGGATGGAGATAGCAGGATTGTCTGAAACACTGATGACTACCTATGTGACTAAATGGTTTACAGCCCAGAAGATAACAATCTAAAATATGAATGTGGGTGTTTCATTTTCCTATGTTTTGTTGCTTTTGTAAGAGCTAGCACTAAAAAGTCGGTAGATCATAACTTGAATTGTCCCATGTGTTCAAATAAACTGATCATTTCAGTGGCAGCTAAAAGATCTAGAATTGTGAGAAAATAAATGTGTGACTTTTGTACCTGTACATAAAGACACTTGTGTTATTACTGTGCAAGAATGGAGTTTGACCTGCCAAGATTTGTTTCTTGTAGTTTTCTATATAGTCGGACTTACCGTCTCTACTGGCTTATAACACCATCAAGTTGGAATATGATGGTGCTGATATCTGTAGCTGTATATTTCTGCATACTGTAACTGTTGTGTATATTGATGAGTGAATTGTATTACATATTTTATTTTTAGGAATATTGCAATGCTTCTACATATTGTAGGTTCTTGTGTATATTGAACAGTGAACTGTATTACACATTTATTTTATTTTTAAGAATGTGACAGTGTTGATGATCTCTATAGCTTTACGCTTCCCAATATTTAGGCCCTTGTGTATACTGAACAGTGAATTGTGTTACACATTTCCTTTATTTGTAAGAATATGACAGTGCTGATGATCTCTGTGGCTTTATGCACCCAAATATTTTAGGCCCTTGTGTATACTGAACAGTGAATTGTATTACACATTTCCATTATTCTTAGGAATAGGAAAGTGATAATCCTGTAGCTTTCTTCTTGTATATATTTTTGGCTCTTGTGTATACTGAACAGTGAATTGTGTTACACGCTTTATTTTTATGAATATGGTAGTGTTGATGAGGTCCACAGCTTTGTGCTTCCACATGCTGTAAGCTCTTATGTATAGTGATGAGTGAACTGTATTACGTTTATTTTTAGTAATATTCTTTAGAGCTGTTCTATTTTACTTTTTGTAATTATTTCAACTTGTAGCATGAGAAAGTTTGTTACGCTTTTGTATGGGGAAAAATGGTAAAAGAGAAATAACCTGCATTAAATGGGTGAGAAAAGAAAGAGAAGTTGAAAGATTATGTCGATACTCATAAACAGACTAGAACATTTGATACAGAGAAATTTTGCTAATATGACTTTCATGGGACAAAAACTGAGCTTAATGGGGAAATTTATGGACATAGGTATGTGTGTGTGTGCATCCATTTTTTCTCTTTAATGGTATTATTTCTTAGAAAAAATTCTGAAACAATTATTATTATTAGGCATTATAAAGTAAGAATTACTCAACAAGGAACAAACTGGCACCATACTTATTCAGAAAACAGATGCACTCCCTCCAGCTTTCCAAGAAACTTTTACTTCAAAAATATGTTCTATATTAAAAATATAATTTTTGTGGTATTCAGTTTTTTTTCAGAATCAGTATGTTAATGGTTAGACTTAGCAAAAGTACAGTTTGTAGTGTAATTAAGGTAGAAAATCAAGGCAAAAATACGTGCATATTTAGTTTTACTGAGTGTCCCTACAGCCTTAAATTTTGAAGAAGAATCCAAAGTGAGGGCCAGATAATTAAGCAATCAAAATACCAACAATGTTATCACTAACACAGCTGGTTTTAAGAGAAAAGAAAAGAGAATGACATTGTTTGATTGTAGCATTTAGACTAATAATCCATCTGGATGTTTCTGGAAATTATAATCCTTGTAGAATTGTAATTGTATAGAAAAATGATGTGTCATCAGTGTTTCATATGTATAAAGAAAGGTGTTAAGTACTTAGATGTGCCATACTCTTTAAGTTCTCTTACAAAACAGCATTCATAATATAAAAAAGAGCATATTTTTCCTAAGAAAGCGAATAATATAATAATCACTCGATGTATCTTTGGACAAGTTTAATGGATTTTTCTTTTATATTTTATGAACCAAGGTGGTGATATGTCATAATTTCTTAAGCAGCCCTGATTTATATTGCATGTGATAACACCTCTCTATGGGAACAAAGAGTAAATAAGTACTTATTACATTAAAGAATAAGTTACTACATAAATAACATGCAGTCTTATAACTTTTCTGCCATAAATGTGTTGTTAATTTTGAGGAAATGGGTGATTTTTCACATTCCATATGATTCTGTTTTTGAACAGGAATAATTGGTCAGTAATAACATGTGCACAGATTAGGAACAGGCCTGCTGAATTCAAACCACCTTGCTCAGAAATGCAGGATTTACTTCAGTGTACATGCAAAATGAAGCCTTGCTGCAGATTAGAGGAAGCATGTTGACCTATTGTCTTTTGTATATGGCTGTGTCTCAATAAAATGCTGTTGGTTTCAAACGTAAAATAAAGCTAGGTTTAAAGGCTGACAGTTACAGGAGACAGAACATTCCATGTTCCCAAAACAGATACCCTCTATGCCTTTTCACTTCTCCATGAAAGGTAATGCAGGTAACCCTTTGTGTCATGCACATACTTACATTTGTAGATGTACAGTTATGATGGGATATATGGTGGTAAGTACAAAAACGGTTTCATATTAATTTGACTGCACTAGTATTCCAGTACTTTTCTTTCCATCTATCTCATAATATAAAGCTTAAGATATACAAATCTATGATTTT